GTTCTATTTTTAAATGGACACTATCTGTCATAAAGCCTAGAAATTTTATGTAAGTGGTAGGTACTAGGATGCTTTTGTTTTTATTGATTATAAGACCTAACGATTTTAAAAGACAAATGGTTGTGTTGACATGTTTGAGACAGGATTCATAGGAATCTCCGAATATTAGGAAATCGTCTAGGTAATTGACTGTAGACATGCCTAAAGTGCGAAGAAAAGAGACGACTGGCTTCATGAGTTTTGTGAAGCATAACGGAGCTGTACATAACCCGAACGGTAAGCAGAAAATTGGTACAATTGACCTTCAAATTGAAATTTAAGGAATGGTTGATGGTCATTGTGAACGGGTACCAAAAAGTATGCATCTTTCAAGTCAATTGTGCACATATACACGTTTTTTTTGAGTCAATTTAATAGCCGTTCGTGGGTCCTCCATTTTAAAATGCGGACATTCCACATATTCATTTAATTGTTTTAGATTTGAAATAAAACTTTTTCCACCGCTGGATTTATCTGCTAGGAAACATGGAGAGATAAATTGTTCGGGCCTTGACTCAGATTTGAGTATGGCTCCGGACCTTAACAAATCGTTTATAGCTAATCTTACTAGCGATGATTCTGTAGGGGAAAAATTATTTTTAACCAAGTGGTGGCATGATGGAGGGTTGTCTTTAAAGGGAATCCTATAACCTTGAATCCAGGATAAGAGTGTCAAATTTGAGGTTAGTTTGGACCAAGAGTCCAAATAAAACTGTAAACGGCCAGCAAACGGAACTTGTTTTACCTTCAGCGTTTCCTGGTTTGCTGTTGTCTGTTCTGAGGAAACTGTTTCGAGGAATGGCCCTTATATTGCCTCACCTCCCTCTTGCGGTAAGACGAGCCATACCTGTTTAAAGGTCCTGCATTCTTGGACGAACTGCCCCCCCCTCTTCTTTCGGAATGATTGAAGACCCGCGCTGATTGAGAGCTAGTGCGTGAGGGGATAGAAGGCAAACGTAAGTCCTGTCCTTCCTTTTCCAAAGATTTCAATTTTTTTGCTCGTTCACCTAAATCTGGACCAAACAAAAATTCACCAGGTATGGTATTTTCAGTCAGTTCTTTAACTGATGTGTTAAGTACTGGGCTAATTAAATATTTCCTTGTTTTCGAAATATCAATATTCGTGCAAAATCTGTCAAATTTGATAAGACTTTTTCCCTGATGTCTTTAGGGATGCTGGATTCGTCTTTCAAGATAACGTTGAGTGCTTTTCCCAGGGTGGTTAGTCCGTTACCAATGTGTAATTGGTACCCGGAGTGAGTGGATGAAAGAATAGCTTTCAATTCGGGATTTACTTTTGGAGGACGTAATAAGGCGCAATTAGATGGCACATTTTGTTTTTTGCTAAGGATAGAAATATCTTCGGCCGATAGCCCGTTTGCCAAAATATGGGACCACCTGGAGGCTAGGGCACCGTCACGTTTAAAACTAGACGTATTAGCCTTTTCAGGATCGGCACCCAGAATATTTAATGTATCGTCTGATAATGGCATACAATCGGCATCGTCAAGTATCAAAACATCGTCCATACTGTTTTGCGTACCTGAGCTTCCGGCCCGCACGGGGAACGACTAGCCAGGCCTACCTGACGCTGTGCATTATCAGCTGGGCTGGATGAATTCTGGTTTTTTCGCACATATTCCCGTCTCTCTCTACGTCCCCTCGACACGCTAGGTGATCGACTACGACTGATGCTACTCCGCGAACGGGACCTTGAACGTCTACGGCTCAGCCGAGAACGAGAACGCCTAAAATAATGGGGCGAATCGGCACGAGACCTCGACCTGCTGCTTCTACCCTCAAGTTCCTGGTGTAAAATTTCCCTGATAAGACTCCTCAAGGAACTGAGAGAATTAACCTCCAAATCCCCGTCCCTGCCGCCAGGTTTTTCTTCCATGGTTTTCTGCTAAGTATATATTATATATAACGTGCTACTAGATTTAATGTATCGTCTGATAATGGCATACAATCGGCATCGTCAAGTATCAAAACATCGTCCATACTGTTTTGCGTTGTTGGCGCCGCTCCCAAATCCGGCCCTGTCAGTACCTGAGCTTCCGGCCCGCACGGGGAACGACCAGCCAGGCCTACCTGACGCTGCGCATTATCAACTAGGCTGGATGGATTCTGGTTTTTTCGCACATATTCCCGTCTCTCTCTACGTCGCCTCGACACGCTCGGTGATCGACTACGACTGATGCTACTCCGCGAACGGGACCTTGAACGTCTACGGCTCAGCCGAGAACGAGAACGCCTAAAATAATGGGGCGAATCGGCACGAGACCTCGACCTGCTGCTTCTACCCTCAAGTTCCTGGTGTAAAATTTCCCTGATAAGACTCCTCAAGGAACTGGGAGAATTAACCTCCAAATCCCCGTCAGTGCCGCCAGGTTTTTCTTCCATGGTTTTCTGCTAAGTATATATTATATATAACGTGCTACTAGATTTAATGTATCGTCTGATAATGGCATACAATCGGCATCGTCAAGTATCAAAACATCGTCCATACTGTTTTGCGTTGTTGGCGCCGCTCCCAAATCCGGCCCTGTCAGTACCTGAGCTTCCGGCCCGCACGGGGAACGACCAGCCAGGCCTACCTGACGCTGCGCATTATCAACTAGGCTGGATGGATTCTGGTTTTTTCGCACATATTCCCGTCTCTCTCTACGTCGCCTCGACACGCTCGGTGATCGACTACGACTGATGCTACTCCGCGAACGGGACCTTGAACGTCTACGGCTCAGCCGAGAACGAGAACGCCTAAAATAATGGGGCGAATCGGCACGAGACCTCGACCTGCTGCTTCTACCCTCAAGTTCCTGGTGTAAAATTTCCCTGATAAGACTCCTCAAGGAACTGGGAGAATTAACCTCCAAATCCCCGTCAGTGCCGCCAGGTTTTTCTTCCATGGTTTTCTGCTAAGTATATATTATATATAACGTGCTACTAGATGAGCAACAAAACAACCCATTGTTGTACATACTTACCAACCTACTTACCAAGCACTAAACCGATTTGAAAAGGAATCGCGTATTTTACGTGTTTCCTAACGCACAAACAAGCCGGGCGACCGTACGGCTGTAACACCAAAAACCGAATGACTCAACGTGCAAGACCTAGGCGCGACGGGACGGGAGCGGGGATCTCTTGTCTTTTAGCTTGGTGTGCGGCTAGTACTCCAGGGCCGGACTACATAGTAAATAAACAAAGTGATGTCTTCGGGCTGGACCTAAATTATAATTCAACACGCTTAGGACATTCTTTGGCGCGATGTGACCTGCGCGGGGTTCAACACGGAACTGTCTGACGGTAATGTGTTGTGACCGGTACCGCTGAGGAACGGAACAGGCCAGAACTATTATTAGCAACGACGGAGAGATCATCGTTCATTATGAGGGCTGTTTCGTGGTGCTCCTAAGGGATAGCGTCAACACATTTTTCAAGTAGCTTAAGAAATTCCGAAAACTGATCGATTGCTTCATATAAACATCAAACGAGTGTACTGTAATGATGCTGTAGTGTAAAAGAATCCCTCTGCAAGCTAATAACGTCGCTAAAACGTAACAAGGACAATAAAAGTCCTGCAAGCAAGACAATGGCGTGTGAGTGCATGTAACGACATGTGCCTCAGATCAAAAGACCATCAGACGCAGAGCCAGCAGGCTATAGAGCGTAGAGCAGAACAAACAGTATTGCTAACGATGGAATCATTATACCAGCTTGTGATTGTTGCGGATATTGTATGTCTGTATTCAACGACATTCACTTCGGATGTATATGAAGGAGGAACATTACCCCATTGGGTAATAGATTAATTGTACGCTCAATCACAGGCTTTGAGTTATTCATTGTGGCCTACGGTGCACCTAGTTACAGGAATTGGATGGAAAGTTTACAAATTATTGAGAGCTGGAAAAGAGGTTTTACATAATCAACTTAACTCATCAATAGGTTAGGACAACCGTATTGTTACCTCTTTGCTTACAAGATACTGAGGAGACCTCACCCACTAGTTTGCTTTTCGATTGTCTGTCTTACACGACTAGACCTATACTGTTTAATGATTGTCAAAAAGCATGAAATAACATTATATGAAGTTGGTCATGCTTACACAGACGTAAATCAAACAGATTCAGTTCGACCAAAGGCAATAGACTTTTGCGTTAATGTTAATAAGTTCATTCTGTATCATTATTGTCTAGTATCAAGAGCGGAAACGTGCAGGTCTACTACCGTTCATACTATAATTTTCGGATAACCTTACATTGAACTTCGGAATTCCAATAATAGTTCATAACTCTATATTTGGCTATAGAACCATAATAAATTCAATAGTTATATTTAAAGCTAACTACAGAGGTTCTACTGCTGCAAAAGCTAATGGAACATTGAGTACCTATTATAAAATAGGTAGTGATTCCTCTAAATATTTTGTTGTGTATTGAAAAGCTTAGCATTTTACTGCACTTACCTGTGCTTAGAAAATGTGACAAAATTCCGCAGTTTTCTCGAAAAAACAGAAATGTTTGGGAACGAAAAGGTCGAAAAAGGAAAGAAATGTTTTCTTCAGAGACTAGTATTATAACGAACATTTTCTAGAGCTCTTTAGAACTAAGATTATCATATCTCTTTAAATTTATTTGTTTCAATTGAAATGCGTGCTGTACTAGAAGCTTTTCCCACGACTACTGACAATAGTTATACAAATCAATGTGATGGTTGAAGATGCCTTAACATTTGCAACATATTCTATAGTACTTGGGTATTTCTAAGCTTTATAGTTCTATATGGTACACATATCCAACAACAAATAAAAATCCTTTATTTTTGCTGATCAACTTCCTTTTAAAGGAAAACGTATCGTGTAGGGGTCATTCGAATGTTAAGCGAAAGAAAAGAAGGACACGCATGTGTATATCATTTTGTTGAATGATGAAGATAATTTTGTGATGTTTGTTTCAGTGTCAACATTAGTAATGTGGGGGTGATCGCTTTGTGGTGGAGAGTGATGGGGCGCGGCGAGAGCTCGCCCATGGAGCTGGGCTAGAGCCGCCTCTGCCGCCGCCGCCGGTGCCGGTGCCGCCGCCGGAGGTAAGACATCATAATCTATAAGCCCATCAGACCATCAATCCATCAATCCATCAATCCATCAATCCATCAATTCATCAATCCATCAATCCATCAATCCATCAATCCATCAATCCATCAATCCATCAATCCATCAATCCATCAATCCATCAATCCATCAATCCATCAATCCATCAATCCATCAATCCATCAATCCATCAATCCATCAATCCATCATTCCATCAATCCATCAATCCATCAATCCACAAATCAGTCAAACCGCCAGTCCGTTAATCCATCAATCCGTTAAACCATCAATCCATCAATACATCAATCCATCAATAAATCAATCCATCAATCCATCAATCCATCAATCCATCAATACATCAATACATCAATACATCAATCCACAAATCAGTCAAACCGTCAGTCCGTTAATCCATCAATCCGTTAATCCATCAATTCATCAACCCATCAATCCAACTAATCAATCAGATTGATCGAATTATCTGTCAACAGCCAGATTGGTGACTACGTCTTTCGAATGATCAATTGCTCAGCTAAATAAAACTTCATAGTGGATCTGAAATAGTTATTTGCAATACCTGATTTTGGATTTTTATGTTTAGTTTTTGCAGTATGTTTTATAAGTACATAATTTTGTTGTGCATTTAGTCATAGCTACCCTATAAATTTCCGAATTAATTGATCACGTTTCACAATATAAGCTTTTGAGCAAAACTACAGGCGATCCAAGGTAGTATATTAAGGTTCTTCCAATTTTTGAAATAAGTTACTAAGCTAACGCTATGACATTTTCCTATCATACAGAACAGTTTAGAAGACCATATGTTAGATAGTGTCTTTAGAAATATCCTTCTGTTATCTATATACATATATACGTAAGCAGATTTTTTACAATCATTAACCCCCTCCCCCACGTCAGAAAAAATAAGCAATTATCTTACACCCCCTCCCATAACCATAAACATTTTGGTACATTTTACAATTTCACGCAGATGTTCTGAATAACATTTAATGTCTGAAAGATCAGGAAAATCTGGCGGACCGGCCCAACACACTTTTGACTAAGATGATAACCATGAAATTAAATTGAACTTGTGCTAATATATTTCCGTCAAAATTCGATCTTTCTAAATGCTTAGTAATATCAAAATTCAGAATTAGCAAGGATGTATTGTATTGTAGTAATACGAGTATATAATATCATTTTATCGGAAAAACAGTAGGTTTGGGTGTTTAGGAGGAGCAGCGCCTCGCTCTAAATCTGCCATTGAGTCTTAGCTCAATACCTCCAAACGGGTGTGCTAATGACTGAGCAGCGGCTATTAAGTAATTGGCCCATCACTTACCTGTAACTACTGTTTTTGCTATTTGTTAACAACTTACAACGATTAGAGTCATGAATTGATAAATTACAATGCATGACAAAAAAATTTACAAGCAATTCTTCTAGCAATCAATTGTCACTGAACGCAAAAAATACTATCTTCATAAATTTTACTCCTCGTTCGACCACAATCAATGAGAGCCAAGTAGTCAAGCTCAATGGGAAGTCGTTGGTTCAAGTAGTAAAGTAGCAAATACAAAATTTCTAGGAATTCATCTTGATGCAGCTTTTCAGTGGGAGCACCACATAAGCAAACTATGTGAAAGCTTGTAATTTATTTGTTTTGCAATCTGGAGGCTCCGACACGTATGTTCAGAGAAAGTTATAGGGTAGGATCGCCTAAGAGTACGCGTTCCATAAGAGTACGCGATCGCCATTTTTTATTGTTATCCCCGCCAGTCGGCTGTCGTCTCGTCAGTAGTTAGTTGTTAGTTGTCCCAAGAGTTTGTGTAGTTTTGCTGACAATTTTTAACAAATGCGTAACATATATGCGGAAAAAATAGTTTTCCTGAAATTACATGTAATATTTTGAACTTACTGGGTAAGTAATATTTAATTAAATCGCAAATTTTTATAAAAAATCGTAAATATGCCTTAAACAGTAATGTTTACAGTTGATCCTTAGCGACATACATACAGTTTTTCTGGTTGCCTAAATTTGTAACTCAGTGTTTAAATTTTTCATGTCAAGGTTCCTAAGAGTACGCAGGCAAAGAGTACGCATGCGAACTCTTAGGATTCGTGCGTACTCTTAGGGACACATGAAATGACTTCTTATTATTTGTTTTAGTTTGTTATAATGGGTAAATACAAGCGAAAGAGCGATAGATCATTAAAATTTACTCAAGAAATTATCGACCAAGCAAGGGACCGCATCGCAAAAGGGGAAAGTAAAAGATCGGTCGCAAAGTCCTTTCATGTGAATGAGTGTACATTAAGAAAAAGATTGCGAGAGGTAATAATAAACTGACGATTTTAACGTCAAAATGCAATTTTATTTTTATTTTAGGGTACTATTCCATCTAGTCTGGGTAGATTTAAGCCTGTATTTTCACAAGCACAGGAAAAGGAATTGGCTGACCATATCAAAGATCTAGATAACAGATTTTATGGACTGCGTATGAAAGATGTTAGGTACTTGGCCTTTCAGTATGCAGAATTAAATAAAATTCCGCATAGGTTTAATACAGAAAACAAGATGGCGGGGAAACACTGGGTACAAGATTTTGCAGCAAGAAATACTTTGTCTCTCAGAGCTCCAGAAAAATGCAGCTTAGGTCGCGCTATCGGCTTTAATAAAGTTCAGTGTCAACGCTTTTTCGAAAATTTAAAAATAGTTTACGAAAAATTAAAACTACCACCACACAGGATCTTTAATATGGACGAGACGGGATTATCTACCGTACCAAACAAGCTCCCAAAAGTTTATGCTTGTAAAGGGAAGAAAACTGTGTCAAAAGTTGTATCAGGTGAACGAGGTCAGCTAGTTACGGCTGTATGCTGCATGAGCGCTGGTGGTACTTGGGTTCCGCCAGGTCTTATTTTCGCAAGAAAAAGAATGAAGGAGGAACTTTTTTTTGGAGCACCTCCTGGGACATTAAAAATGATCTCAGATTCAGGTTATATGAACACTGATTTGTTTGTAATTTGGTTGCGACATTTTTGCGACTTTGTAAAACCATCCGAAACAGATCCAGTGGTTTTAATAATGGACAATCACACATCTCATTGCTCATTGGATACCATTTTATTCTCTAGAAGTCATTTTATAACGCTACTAACCCTACCTCCTCATGCAAGCCATAAAATTCAACCCTTAGATAAAGGATTTTTCTTTCCCTTAAAAACAGCTTTTTCAAACGATTGCGATAAATGGATGGTCAACAACCCTGGACGCCCTATTACTTTAAAAGAAATGGCTGTCATTTTACATTTTGCTTATTCAAAAGTCACTACTATAGAAATATGTGAAAAATCATTTGCTTGCACTGGGTTGTTTCCTTATAACCCAGACGTTTTTAGTGATTTAGATTTTGCTCCATCTGAGGTCACAAACAGACCACATCTAGACCTGGCCCAAGAAACTCAATCTGAAATACAAAGAATCGAATCATCTGTTGAAGAGAGTTCATTTGATGACGATTGCACTCTTGCAGAAGTAAGAAATACCATAATAAAAGAAAACTTAAAATTAACCGAAGAAAAGCAATCTACGATTCCCGAACCACAAAGTTCAGACGTTACTGAAAGTACAGCTTACTTTAAAGCAGCTCCTAAGGAACTAAGTGAACCAGGTACAAGTGGCTATATCCCGCCTAAAAACGATAAGGAAAAATTATTTGAAAATGAGCAAACTAGAACACCAAGTCCAAAAAGTACAGGCTTTACCAAAATTTCAACTTATGTTGAGGCTACGTCTGCGGCACCGATTGATCTAGGTTTAAGTGTTTGTATTACTCCTAAAATGATTTTACCGTTACCAAAAGCTACCCATGAACAAGTAAGAAGAACTAAATCTAAAAAGTCGGAAATCCTGTCATCTACCCCATACAAAGACAAATTGTTGGAAGAAAAAGATAGGCGTAAAGAAGGCCTAAAGAAAAAGGGAGGAAAAAGAAAAGTTTTTGGTGATTCTGGGCAAAATACAGAAATCCAGAAGAAGAAAAAAGTTGACAATGAAAAAGACAATACGATTTGTCCCGGATGTTCCGAGCATTATTCTACATCCGATTGGATTAAGTGTCACTTGTGTCAAACATGGTGGCATGATGACTGCTCTAATTATCTAGGAAATGGCCTATTTTCTTGTGACTTATGCCTACATTTAAAAGAATAAGTTTAGGTACAGCCAATTGGGCGATATATCTTACCGCGTACTCTTTGGTTTACATGCGTACTCTTTAGGACACAATTGAGTACTCTTAAGGAACCTGTATCCTAAGAGTACGCATTTTATTGTTTTTGTTTAAACTTTTATATTTTCGTTAAATGTTAAAATGTATGGCAAAATTTGTCTTTTAAGTTTAGATTAGTATGTAAGCTAAAATATTTTGAATAAAAATTTCAACTTAAAGCATTTCAATTATTTTTAAACAAAGTAAATTGGTTAAGTGCGTACTCTTGTGCGATCCTACCCTAATTTCATACTATCATGCACAGTTTGCTTCTAGAGTAAAATATGGCATTATTTTTTAGATAGCTTCAAGTCATGTGCAGAGGGTTTTTATATTACAGTAAAGGGCATTGAGAACAATAGCTGTTGTAGCAACGCGAACATCGTACAAAGAACTTTTCAAGAAGTAGAGGAACTGCAGCATATTTGTAATACTGGTTTGTTTTTTGGAAATACATTGTAAGATAAATGGGATAGCAAAATTAAAAATGCATTAAATTATTGCGAAATCATTCAATTTTAATGATATAAGAAATCAAACGAAACAAAAACCAGTGTCATCAAGATATTTATCAAAATAAAAAACTCCAGAATCGTAAATTTACTTAGGGTGCAGGTAATTTGTAATGTAGTATTCCAAATTATTATCACCTTTTATTTGACAATTGATTACACTTTTCCTAGAAACTAATACATTTCTCAACTTTGTAACCGATTTAC